CTGCATGAAGTGTTGCTCCGCGGCTCAGGGTGGGCTGGCAGCGAATGTTCAGATCCACAGGCAGAGCTAAGAGGTTAAAGGTTCACCTTCAGGAGTTTCCTGTGTTTCAGGAGGAAATAGGATGGCATTTCGTCTGTCAGGGCACAAAAAAACCCCAACTCACCGTGTTTCCTGTTTCTCCCGTAGGTGCAGGTAGCTGCCTGGAGACGCTGGAAAAAGGAAAGCCGCTAGTGGTAGTAACGAACGAAAAGCTGATGGACAACCATCAGCTTGAACTGGCCAAACGGCTCCACAGAGGTGGGCACGTCCTTTACTGTAACTGCAGGTACGGAGCTGCTGTGGCTGCCCTGACTGAAGGAGTGTCCAGCACTGCCACTCAGTGTGTTATTACGGTGTTGAGAACATGACAAATTTACAAACTCCTCTGTAACAGCTGTTTGTTTGCAAGGTAGATCTTCCACAACGGGTATTTACTAAGCTGTTTGACCCATGACCCCTTTTTAATTCCCTTTTTTTTTTTTTTTTGAGGGCACATTTATTCAGATTGAAAGAGCAATTTAAGCCAAACAGAAGTGGTTGAATTTGAAACGGACGGGTAGCATCCTAGAGGCACCTAACAGCTTCTCTCTTTGCTCTTTCTCACTATTCGAGTCTAGAAAAAATAGAATCCAGACTAGTTTGTAACTAAGAGCTGTAAGGAATAAATTGCTCCCTGGAGACTTAGGACTTCCATCATTTTGCTATGTGGATTTTCCTTGTAAAGGGCACTAAAGTTGACTGTATAGATGTAATAAAATTGAAAACATCTGAAGTATTTAGAACAAAACATAAGAATGGCCTTAGTAATACGGATCAGGACTCCACATAGCTCAGTATCCTATTTGCAGTGGGCATATGCAGCTGTCCAGTCAGAAGTAGAAGCAGAGCAATAAATTATACTTTCTTGTATTACTTTTCCTCTGGTGCTCTCAAGTACTTTGATTCAGGGCATTCCCTAAATCAGATGCTGTCTAGTTAGTAACTCGCAATACCTCTGTCTTATCCAGGCTGCCCTTTTAACCAAATTTCTTGAATCCAACAAGTCCTCTGACAGGGAGTTTCACAGATCTACTGCCTGTCGCTTCAGGGGAAAAAAACAAAATCAGAAAACAAACACCCCAACCAACCAGCCAGACCTTTGGTCTGTGTTCATCCAGGCTCTTGTTAGTTTAATTTGCTCTGGGTTTGACTATATGTTATTTTTTATCTCTTTATTTGCGATTATTTATAGAGAGCAACCAATCATAAATAAAAGATGACCTCTAAATTGAAGGCAGATGAATCGCAACTCACATTATTTAGTCTGCATCTTGTTCCTTTGCCATGCAAATAGGATTTCATATACTTGGAAGGGCCTTCTGAAGAGGCTAGGCCTGTCATTCGTTTGTATCGGGCAGGTTTCTTAAACTTATTATCTCAGTGCTTCTGACAGCTTCAAAGACAAGGAATTTTTATTTCTTTTTGTTGATCAGTGCCTAGCATTTGAGCTTTATTTGCAGTCCGCTAACAGCAAGCTAACAGATTGATGTAGCTGTTCTTCCTGGCTATGTGTTAAGGGGAGATCTACGCCATGTGTTCAAACAGGATGAATTTCCTGGTACGGTTTATGGGGAAGATCCTCAGATCTTGTTCAGTCTCCCAGCGTTGCAACGGCAGAAGATGGAAGTTAGAGCTGAGATTGCCAGAGCTGTGGCGCAGATCAAAGCGTGTTCTCAGCCACACTGCCCATGAGCCCACTGGTTTGTGTGGTCTCTTCCTTTCAATACGTGTCCTTACTGTTTCTGTGCTAAATATTTATGTATGAATGAATAGAAAGGAAATTCTGTGAAGAAAAAAATTCCTTTTGGGATGGATTTTTTTTAAAATTTTTGTTTTGGTCTGTTTATACAGCACTCTTTTGGAGACACTGCAGTCCATGGACTTGTCAACTCTGAAACCTTTTCCTCCTGGACATCCAGAAAAGTTTGCTTTATTCTTGGATAAAGTTGTTGGGTTTCAATAAACAATACAGAGGAATAAAAATGTCAGAATAAAACTTCTCTCCTAGTGAGGTCTTCCATACTTAAGTGTCCACCAACAGGGACAAACCCTCAAAGAAAATGTTTGTTATTATTAACTGACATTAAATGGTTTCCTGTTTAGTGCTAGTTTACAGTCATCTAGCTTTAGTCTTAAGAGCAGAATGCCAACAAGGTGGGGTGAGAGCATGAAGTGTCTAGTTTCTTGGACAGGTGAGTATTTACATCACAAAGTCAGCACTGAGTTGGTAATTCCGGTGAGGAGAATAAGCTAAGTTACTTTTTAAAGGCATGGCCTATACCTAGTGGTCTCTTGACTGTGTTTCCCTAATTCTAGCAGAAATAAGTTGATGCTCCTGTGATGTCTGCAAATAAGCAGATGCTGTCATCTCTCATTCTAAGTGTTTACAGAAGCACTGAAAAGAGAATTTTAAAAGTCAAAGATTTAAGCCTCTCTGAAGGGAACAGAAGAGCTGCAAACCTTGTTGCTAAACTGTCCACCAGCTGTCTTCGCTGGTTTTGGATGATTTACTCCCAGAGTAAAACCTAGTCTCTAGGAGAGGACAGGGCTGGCAATACAATTAATCCATTTACGCTGTGTCAACCCATCGTTACTTGGTTTGGTTTGTTTCCTACTTGATGCTGATCAGAGCTCCCCACTAAAAGTAATGAAATTGTCAACTGTGTTGATTTGTTCAAGTAAATATTTAGAAAAACAAAGAGGGTTTAAACTTAAAAAATGTTCACACAGCTTGTTTGGTCTGTAATACTCTAGAATTGAACAGGTGGAAAGTTGGTGCTAATTGCCCTTTCTGGAAGAACAGTATTTGGCAGGTTTTTTTAGTTGTTGTCACTCAGGTACATCTGATATCCTGGTTTTTAGCACCAAGTTAAATGTAGAGGCACCCTCTTCATCAAACCAAGCACAAGGGCGATATGTGGCATAAATCATGCAGCACTCTCGTGCGAGATTTTTGCTGATACCTGAAGTTTTCCCTAAGTACTTTATTAGAAAAAAACCTAAGCCTTTCCCTTCCCTAACGAATTTTTTCAAGTTTACCGCTGTTCCAAGAGCATGCAGGAACGCCTCAGGAAAATTCTGAGTAACAATTTCGTTTTCTCGCTAGTTATTTGCAGTCACGGGCACATCAAGCAAGGACGTTAGAAGGAATTAGCTTAGCAAAGGCTCCCTTCTCTTCCCCAGGCAGGTACGGGAGGAGATTTAAGAGCGATGTGGGGCTGGAGGAGAACGACCCCGCCGCCCTCGCTCACT